GTTAAGGGTAATTTTTAACTTAGAATTATTAGTTAAGGGTAATTAAAAATGGTTATCTGTCTTGTAGGACCCTCGTCCTTTTTTTTTTTTTTTTTTTTAACGAAAATGATGGGCAGTTTTAGTAGGTAAAGGAGAAACATTATAAATATCAAACTTTATGATTCTTCTTTCGTAATACAAGAATGCTTTTGTCTGATTTTTGACCTTTGATTATGTTCTTGTAGCATTGTATAGCTTAAGTTTCCTTCTAGGTTAAGTTTGTCTTCTGCATGATTAAAGGAGAATTAAGAAAACACAAATTTATTAATAATTGAACCCAATCATGCTAAATCTTCTTTACCAATGCCTAAAATAAGCTAATAACTCCTCTCTCTTTTTTCATTTTTTTTTTTTTATAGTGGTTTTGTGATATTATAGGTCAATTTTTGTGTACCATATCAAGATTGTGTTTGGGGTTATAGTCTCATAATGTTTTTTTATACAACACCTCATTAAAAATATTAATTTATTATCATTAAATTAATTTTAATTGATAATTTATATAATTTAATAATCATATTGATATATAATATTTTTTTAAAAAACAATTATTAAAGAACAATATAGTTTTTTTTTTTGAATAATTTGTTAAGGAACGGGTTCGAACCCACCTAAAAAGAAGGGAGAATACACCTCATAGTGCCAAGGTGCCACTTGTGTCGAAGGGTCAAGTGCAAGAACAATATAGTTTTTGTTACAATAAAATACACAAAAAAGTCATAACCATGGTGTTTCATAGCAATCCTGAATAAAGCCTATATCTACCCCCTTTTTTTTTTTCTTTTTTTTTAGGAAAATCCCACATCTACCCCTTTAATTTGGTTGAAAGCATACCATCCACATTATAATTAAGAAATTGTTGGGAAATTATTTCATTCTCCCAAAAAATCAAATGCAGCAAATAAGGTAAAAAGACAACCCTAACACTATGTTTGGATAAAAATGAGTAAAGGAGAGTGAAGGAAAGGGAGGGGAAGTAGAAAGAGGAGAAGGGAAGGAGAGTAAATAATTAATATTAATTTTGTTTGGATATATTAAAAAAGAGGAAGAGGAGAAAGGGAGAGATTATGTTTTTTTATATAATTAAATAAATTAAAGAAAAATAATTATAAAATTAATTAAAATTTTATAAATTTATATATTAAGATTAAAGTTAAAATATAAATTTTAATTACATTTTTGAAAAAAAAAGTAAAAGAATAAAATGAAAATAAATCAACAATCCAAACAAAGGCTAAGAGTATGTTTGGTTCGAGGAAAAAGAAAAGGAGGACTAAAGTTTGTTACCAATTGTAGAATTTGTCAGGTATGGTTATGATCATCAAAATTGTGTTAAAAAAATATTGATTCTATTTAACAAAAAAATTACAAAGATCAATCAAATAGAATATAATTTTGGTGGCCTTAATAAATAAATTAGTATACAAATTCTGCAATTGCAGTCAAATGAAGGAATGACCTTTTCAATTCAATTCTACTAAAATTTCTTTTCACTTTTTTTTTTTTTTTTTATGGTCAATTCTATTAACATTTCTTGTTTTTACCATTAATCTATGATAATAGACTCCACGTTTTAATTACCATTTATTGTAAGATATGTATGACAAAGAATTAGGCTTATTCTAAGCAGTTCCACCGCTTTACAACAAGGGGATATGATTTGTTTTCTGCTGTTAGAGACTTTAAGCATCTGCTTTCCTTCATGTGATAGGCCCCCATTGCCTTTTCTTGTGGGATTAAAAGAGTGATAACTTTTGTAGGTGCCTGAGCTTAATTTCAGAAAGGGGTTTGTCCCTTCTGGTGGGGCAGTTTCTACTTTATAGCTATCATCCAGCTCCTAGGTAAGCTTTGTTGCATATGCATGATATAAAGCTGTAGAAGAATAGAAAAAACTATCCCGTATCTGTCTGCTACAAGTCAATCTTAGGTACAGTCTAAAATATTGCATTTGGGTACACCTGAATTGATTCATAACCCAATAATGAAAATAATTCTTGCACGGTACAAGGGGCAGCAAAAACATAACCCAAAACATGTTCACAGCATGTCTTTCATAATACAACATGGAGGATGCAATAATCAAGCCACATGGGATCGATCAGAAGGAAAATCATAAGCTTTAATCTGTGTTTCATGTGTAACTCGTCCATGGTATTGCTATAATTAATAAAACAAAAATACAAAAATACAAAAATACAAAAAAAAAAAAAAAAACTATAACCAGCACATGGTTAGTTCAAATTCAGCCAGTGACTTTAATTCCTATAACTATGCAAGCTTTTGATACTAACTTTTTATAACAGAGATAAACTGAAGTTCTTGAGGTCAGCAAACCTATATCAGCTAGCTTGTAGGCAAAACATTTGCAGAAATATAAGGCGATCTGCATCCCTTGACCTGGAAAATTTAAAGTACAATTTAAGGTGAAAATAGGAACCATGATACTAGTCATGCTATAATGCTCTTAGTGCTATGAAAGTTCCAGCAGTAACAAACAAACATGCTGGACAAGCAGCATTATTTATCAGGTGCAATGGCCATAACGAGATGAATAAGCAGTAAAGGAACAGCCACAGCTACGCAATATGAAAACTATTTATCAGGCATTTCTTGTTTCACTGAGATAATTTAAATATTTTCATTCTTTTTCCTACCTTCTATTTTTGTGTGCTGGGGAGATGTAGGGAGTGAAGGTCATAAATAGATATGATAAATAAAGTTCTGAATTCTGACAAAAATGTAGAAGTTGAAGGAACTGGTTACCTGCAACAAGCAGGTAGGAATTTGGATAAAGCCCTGCAGGAAAAGATCAACCTTTTCAAGAATGCTTTGTGGAACAGGAGTGATCACATAGAGCAGACCTTTGAATGTGTCAATTCCTCTTACAATCCCTGGTTCAGAAAGACAGTAAGTAAGAAGAAAACATTAGTGCTTTGGTTATATGGCTCTTCCCTTTTTTTTCCCATTCAACTCCTTACAACATGAAACAAATAGAAGAAAATCATGATTATCAAAGTGCTAGGATGTGTTTGTTATTTGAAAAAATGGAAAAAAGAAAAGAAAAGATAAGAAAAGAAAACCTTCTAGTATGTGTCTGTACAGAGAGAAAATAAAAAAACAAAGAGAGAGAAACGCTAACATGTTGGCTGACAACAAGAGGGGGATAAATGAAATCAGAAAAAAAGAAGAAAAAAAAATCAAGGAAATCTCATAAGGAGGACGTGTATTAACCTACCAAGACCAACACACCATGGTAAATCCTCAGATGCCTCTGAACTAACAGCCAAGCCAACAATTGTCACATTCAAACTGTAGAAGATTTCAGTACTTGGAACCTAGCATAAAACATGTGAACCCATTAAACAGAGGCTTTGCCGCATATTGCTACAAAATTAATTGAAAGGTTACAGAAAATTCTGTTTTAGGGGGCTATCATCACGGAGATTTTCCTTGTATTTCTCTAAAAATCCTTACAGTGAAAAGGAACCCAATGAAAAGGAAAAAAAAAAAGGATGGGGGTACCATTTAATTACACAAAGGAGATACAGTTCAAAAACAGCATTAAACCTGGCAATGAAGATGTCTAATTCTGATGCTTGATATTGGGACTTCGTAGGGAGGATGAGAAGCAAGTGCAAGTGCAAGTTCTTTAATTGTGGTAATTGACAAGTTACTCGGAAAGCATTGCCTGAAATAAGCCATTATTCGTAAATCCCGTAGAAGGCGTGCATCTTTCTGTATTAGAACCCTGGAAACAAAGGGGAGATAAGATGTAAATCTCCAATTAGAGTAACTTAACCAGTAAAGAGATAGTCAGATAGATGTTCAAAAAGAAGAATCTCCTCTGTCACAATCACATATCATGTCAACATAGTTGTCTATAGTTTAACTTAGCAGCATATTAAGTATAATCATTAGCAACCAAATGGATTTATTGCAAAATGCATGCCGATGTCCAGAAATTCCACCAAAATCAATGCCAATTAAAAGGTTTATATCTCAGTCACGCATATGATTTGATAAACTAAATCTACAGATACAAATAACTGAATGAGTAGAATATAAAATCATTCAAAAAATGTCATTAACAAAAAAGGCTGAATCATGTGAAAGTACCAGGCATCATTTAACTACTAAAAATGGTATAATTAGTTTTTTTTGTAGAGAGAAACTTAAACTAATTAATGTATTCAAATTGGCAGTATTTAGGACTTAACAATTTCCAAGGAAACTTAGAGATGGCTTATACACTTACGATCTATTAAAAGTGTCATGACGAGCAGTTCTGATCTCTATCAGATTAACCTGTTCATCATGATTGCCATCCGACCAAAATGCTCCAGCAGGCAGATTCTTACTCTGAGCTGATATATTTATCTTTACCACATGTGTAGGAGCAATATATCTCAACATGTCCACCAACATTTCATAGCCAAAACCTAAAATATATGACATTGTCAACATATTACTGTAATAATGTTATTAAATTACACATTTTCTGCATTAAGATTGGGCTTGGTAAAAATGTAGACCAAGACAATAAGAAGCAAGTAACTGTATAAAACTTGGGAGAAAAACCTAAACCAGATGCAAACAGCAGCATACCTTTCACCCAGCCAGGTGTATTCACAACAAGAGGCAATTCTGCTCTACTGGGACTTTCACTCTTGTTAGACATGCGGTACTTCTTTTTATAGTAATCAGTTAGTGCATGAATATATTTCAAGTATGCTGAAGGGTCCCTTTTTGAAGAAACATCACCAAAGAAAAAGGACCTAAGAAAAAATAAATAAATTTCCAAATGTAAGTACCACATACAATCTATTCTGCCATATAAATATGGGTTTATGCATACAAAGCTATGACAAGTAATGGTTCTAAAAGAAACTTTACTAGGTTCAATAATTTTTCATATTGATGCAGTTTCAGAACAAAAAAACAGTGACTTACATCCTATTACAAAAAAATTCTAAGCATATCTCAAGAGCACATCATAAATACTTGGAAGGAAACATTAATATATATAATGAGTTGATAGCACATACCTCTCTGGCGTCTTCAGGCATGGAACTGTCAAATCTATTTGATGGACAATAATTAAAAGAACACTCTTTATCAGTAAGCAAAACCATCTTCCAGTAACCAAGAGTGTGCATCTAAGGGTAAAGTCAAAAGATCATACATTTATGAAAGCCAAATACCTGGAGTCATTTTGTCAACAACTGTGAGGGATAGGAAACCGGGAGCAGTAAACTCAGACTGCCCAACATCCGTATCCAAGTAAGCCACTCTTCTATACCTGCTAACACAATGAAACAAGTTGATTAGTATAAATTGTTTTACATACAATATACTACAATGGATTCAATGCAAAAGTATTTTCATTTCTAGTACTTAATTGCATATTCACACATATAACCCTAAAAGCTATAAGCTTTTTTCATTTTTAAACATAACCCAACATCAAAATTTTAAAGCTAAAGAAGACCCATTAACCAAACAGCTAAAGTGCCTCAAGAAAAAGCTTAAACATTCAAACAGTTTTAATCAGAAATACCAGAACAAGATTAAAAAGCAAAAGCAAGAGCTTTCTTGATAATTCCGGTACTTTCCCTAACCTTTGAAGGAGAACGTTAAGGAGGTGGCGAGAGAAGGTGGTCTTGCCGGAGTTCTTGGCGCCACAGATGAAAGCAATAGGAGGTGGGGAAGTGACAGAATCGAGTGCTATGGAGTCTGCCGCCTCAGACCAATCCTCTGGGATAAAAATGTTTGGAGACGGGTTTTCAGGCTCCAACGAGGAAGCCATGGTAGCCAATGTTAATTACTTCAGTGTTTTCACGGCAGGGCGTTTCCTGGGTTCTCTCCTACGTTCACCGTTCTTAGCAAAAGCGGCTTCGGGGCTTCTCCGGAATTTATCCCCGTCCTGCTACACGAGCATGTAAAACTTGTGAGTTGCTGAATTGGTGTGTGGTACCTTTCCCAAGCATGCCTGTCGCGTGAGACTAGCGCACGGTTCTGCTCGGCCCATATCTTATGTCCACGGGCTCGTTCCGATTTCCGACCCTGTTCGGCCACCAACTGACCAAAGCCTAAGGTATGTCTCAACAAACGACTGGGCCAAATGGTCCACCGTCCACGAACCCTTACCTTATTATTCTCATTATTTTTGGCTTAATTTAATTTTTAGTCTATTAACTATCACATTGATTTCATTTTAATCTAGAAACTATGTTTTATTTCTAAATGGTCTATTAACTTTCAGATTCAGTTCAATTTCGTCTACTTGGTCAAAGATAACGGAAAACTTACTATTCGGTTAGAGAACAGTTAGTCCTTTGACTATATTTTTTTTTATCTTTTAATCCTTAAATTTATATTTGTTATAAAAATAGCTTTTTTACTTAAAATTATTATTTATAGGCTCTAATACCAGATTTTTATATAGGTTTTCCTATTTCTTTAATTTGGTATCAGAGCCTAAAAGTTAATAGACCACTTGGAAATAATAATTTTAAGTATAAAAATCTGGTATCAGAGCCTAAAAATAATAATTTTAAGTATAAAAGCTATTTTTATAATAAATATAAATTTGAGGACTAAAAGATATAAAAAATATAGTTAGAGGACTAACTGTTCTCTAATAAAATAGGAAGTTTTCTGTTATCTTTGACCAAGTAAACGAAATTGAAATGAATCTGAAAGTTAATAGACCACTTAGAAATAAAACATAGTTTCTAGACTAAAATGAAATCAAAGTGATAATTAATAGACTAAAAATTAAATTAAGCCCATTATTTTTTTATGGTTATAATCTCTTAAAACTTTCACACATTTCAAGATTAAATAAATTGATTAATGATACATAGACATTATATATTTAAAAAAATTAAATTTTTTAAGTGCTAGCTTAAGATATGAACCTTAAATTTAACTTATAAAATAATATTTATTTGTGAGAAAATCTAACTCTTAATAATATATTTAGTTTGAGAGAAGGGATAATTTTTTAGCCAACTAAATTACAATATTGGGAAGTAATACAATTTGTTTAGTAAAAAAATTTAGAGAAAATGTGCAAATAAAGATACTTACTTTGTACTTTTTTCTATTTAAGGATGTTAATCCTATCAATTTTTAAATAAGATGTCAATTTTTAACTTTTTCTATTTAAAAATGTTAATTAAAAATTTTTTTATCTAAAAATTAACTGAATGGTGATGCTGACATGGCAAACGGACTTTTTAACCAAAATATTGAAAGTTAACCATTTTTAAATAAAAAAAATTAAAAGTTAATATCCCTAAATAAAAAAAGTTGAAAGTTGGAGTCCTTATTTATAAACTAATAAAATTAATATCCTTAAATAAAAAAAATACAAAGTTGTCACCCTTATTTCCACATTTTCTCAAAAAATTTATCCCTCCTCTCTTATATTTTTCTCCTCAAACCGAGCATAACTTAAGGTTATTTTCTTTTCCTTTCTTTTGTTTGGTTTTATTTATTTATTTATTTTATAGTTTTAATGTTTTAATGGGTTTTGATTCCTAAGTGAGTTGGATATGAGGGAAAAATTACTAGTGTTTACTTTCTTCTTCTTCTTTTTTTTTTTTTAATTCTTTCATCTCAAAATAATTGTTGTGTTTTGACTTTAAATTTGTTGTAAATTAATTGTCTTTTTTTAATTTTTCAATATAAATAAATATTTTTTCCTACTTTAAACTTATTAATATCCATTCATTTTAATTAATTATCTAATTACAAAAAATCTTTTTTTTTTGTTTTTTTATTTCTTTTATAAGGTATTATAAATAAATAGAATTATTGTTTCCAAATCTTTAATTTGAAGAAAAAGCGTAAAAAAAAAACATTTATTTTAGGAGAGAGGGGGTAATGGATTTGAGATTTTAAATGAAAAGAATAGGTTGAATTTTTAGTCAAAAAGTGAATTAGTGGGCTACAAATCAATTTGGATTATTAGTGTTTACCTTTTTTATTTTATGGATTTGAGATTTTAAATGAGAAAAACAATAGATTGGATTTTTAATCAAGTGATGAATAAGCTATTGCCTATGGTACAAATTAATTTAGATGATTTCCTCAATTTTACTAATGGGAGGGCTACTTAAACTCTTTTTCAATAAGCAAAATACCCAAATCCACTTCCAAAGTATAGTGGCAGCGATGAACCCACATTCAAACAAAAAACAGGGACAAATCCACCCACAAAGTTTTCAACTTGGACAAATCACCCTAAATTTAACATAAAACGTCATTTGATGTCATTTGATGTCAGTAATCCGTTAATTTGTTATGTCACTAATAAGTTCATTGTTAACAGATTGCTGATATCAGATGACGTCACACGTTAAATTTGTGGTGATTTGTCCAAATCGAAAACTTTGTGGATGAATTTGTTCAATTGAAAACTTTGTGGGTGGAGTTGTCCCTATTTTTTATTCGGAGGTAGATTTGTCTTTGCCACTATACTTTAGGGGTGGATTTGAGTATTCTGCCTTTTCAATATCAATAAGGTACCACCACGTTTCACGTGACATAGTTAATAATTTAAGTTATAAAATATGATGTATAAGAATATAAAAATATAAAAAGATTGGAAGTATTAATTATGATATGTTATAAATTATTAAAAAATAGATGCTTTATAATTTGTTATAACACATATAATTTTTGGTTAAGTTTATAATTAAGGTAATGTTAAAATGTGCTAAAAAGAATTGATTAACATCATTAAAGAAGACAAAAGTGTTGAATAAAAGATTTGGAAAGGGAAAAGGTGAAAGAAATAGGAAAATTTTGAGGTGTCGAAGGCAGGGGAGGTACTCTTTCTTATTTTTCTTATAAGGGACAACTTTTATTAGTTTTAAACTTTTACTTTATGTTAAGTTGAAAGGAATGAAGGAGAGGGGAAGAGAGGAGAGAGAAATTATATCTTTCCATTCCCCCTTAATTTCCCTTCCCTCCCTTTGACCCAAACATACTATTAGAAAAAACATGTATATGTAAAATTGAAATGACACCAAAGATTATTCTTAATTGAGTCCTTTTAAGTATTTTTAGATTGGACTTTAAACATTCAATGGGAGATTTTTTTTTTTAATTATTTAAGTCGTGTTAATTTTATTTTTATTTATTTATTCAAAGATTTAAAGATACTTTGGGCTTGGATTTTAAAGGCTTTGGGTTTTAAGAATACTAATTTTGAGACAATATTTAATTAGCATGGGTTTAAATATTATAATTATTTAAAATTATAAAGATGTTTTGGACTTGGATTTTAAAAACTTGGTTTTGAGAATGCTTATTTTGGGTTTTTAGGTAATTAATGTGGTTTTAAATGTAATAATAAAGCGTTGGGCTTGGATTTTAAAGACTTAGGCTTTAAGACATTAATTTTGGATCTTTTTTTAGGAGATTTAGATGGTTTTGTTTTTTTAATTATTACTTAAAGATATAATTATAAGGCTTGTGACTTCGATTTCAAAGACTTTTAATTGTGACTAAAATTGAGCTTTATTTATTGCTATTTAGAAATTGTACATGAAGATTGAAAATCAATTATGATGGATTTTGTAATATAAAAATGTTTTTGAAAAATATTATATATGCTTTTAATAAGTCAATATTACTCTAGTCTTAAAGCAATATATATGTTATGAATGAACTAAGTCAAAGTTGAAACTTTGGTTAATAGGCAAATGGATGCCACAACTACAAAATGAAGTTATTGCTAACAAAATTTTTTTTACTATAGTTGTTGCTGACTTAGGTCTTGCACTTACACTTAGACAAATACACCATTGCACAAAATAATTGATTATGTGGTCGGTAATGAGAATAATTTAATGTCTTGAATGATAATGTTTATAGTAGAAACACCTATGAAAGGTATTGTGGATGACATTGATCTTATCATACAACCCTTGAAGACAAAAAGGATTTTCACAAGATAGGTTCTACATTTATTGTAATGGAGGCATTGATGTGGAGTCATTTTGCTTTTCATTGAATCTGTAAGGTACTACATTGTTAGCATGTAATAATTTTAGATCTCATGTTTTGCATTTTGTTAATAGCTTTTAAGTAAATATGATATTATTCTTGATGTTTAGTAAAAAAAAAAGTTATTAGTTTTAAGAAGCCAATTAGAGAATATCTTTGTGTTCAACACAAGTTTATTAGGTGCTCAATTTCTTGTGGTGTTCTGATAAAAAGGAAAGAGCACATCAATTTTTTATCAAGCAATATTGAGTACATTGGCTCATGGGATGCTATAATTATGGGAAGCCAAACTGACAATGCTCCTATTTTCATTCGGTAAGCACGTAACAAAAAAAGGTACAGATAGTTCTAAAAACAAGTTGATGAATGCCTTAAAAAAGCTTGCTATATAAAGGAATGCTTACGTAATGCTTACGTAATGCTAGACGAATGTAACATTATTAATGTGTTCGAATGACCCAAGGATGATAAGTTAGTTAAAAGGTTATAATTGGTTCCTTAAGCAAATATTACATATGTTAGTAATACCATGTGTCTATTAACAACTTTGATGCTTTCTTAAATGAGTTGATTATAAGACACTTGGTGTGAAGGTGGAGATGTTGTGCCTTCTTGTGTAAAAGCTGATGTAGGAAACAAATTTGTACTTATGCTTTGCATAAATATTATTTAAAACTTATTACTAATCATGCTTTGTATCATGCAATATTGCATTTAATGTGCACTTACATTGCCATTTTCCTCAAGTATAATTTGTTTTTGTTCTCTTGATTATATTAAAATTTCATAATACTATTTGTACTTCACATAGTCTTTTATTATTTATATTAGTTTTTTCTTTATTTTGCATTTTTACTGTGTATTGTCAATTTTATTGCTTAGGAGAGTTTTTGATTATAGCATTGGTTTTACATCCTATTGTCCAATACCATTCTAACTCTTAATAGAT